GTGTAGCGATTTCAGGATGGCTTGGAGCTGGGGTTCCAGGAATTCCGCTTGTGGACTTGCTATATTCAGAATTGTCTTCAAGAATGTTGTTTCTCCGTCGAGATCAGCGGCGCTGAGTCTGTAAGAAGTTCGTGTTAGTGAAGAGAAGGCTAGTTGATTGCAAAACTTCTTTTTTTTCTTCTTTTTCATGTTTTTTTTCTTTTTGGTTGCAATCGTCATAGCTTTATTTTGGTTGCCCCTCTCTTTCGAGTCAGACATGTGCGCAGAGTCCAAAAGCACAATCTCCAGATGGACTGATACACTTTCCGTATAGGCTTGATCATCGATTTTGTGACAATAATGATTATGCATCTGAGTCCACAGGTGGAAATGAACGCATAAGTTACTCCTAGCACAAAGATGAGTGCGACTCCTGCAATGAGTACCGTTTTATACCATTGGCTGAATACGTCAAATAGATGGTAAAGGTCAGGCCACTTGATTTCGGCAGAAGCACTTTCGCTATTGCTCGTAAGCCATTTATACAGCATTGCCTCGAAAGTTGCTGTGTATTTGAGAACTCCTCCGACTTCAAATGTTGTGACGACTTCTCCGCATGAGACTGAACATTTCATGCGGACCATTGCTTGAGTAGGGCTGATTCTCATGATTGACTCGATTCCTTGTTTGCCGCACGGAGCTGTGAAACTTGTTCCTTCGCAGATGATCTCTGCTTTACTTGACCGAGAGGAAAAACACTTAATTTTTGCATAAGCCCCCTTTTCGCAATTATAGCAGCCTAACAACTGCGTGTTCTCTACCATGCATATGTCGTTGTCCACGACGACGTTAGTGCATAGATCTTCTTGTAGGGTTACAATTATTTCTGTCGAGAGCATGCTTTGAACACTTGCTTTGACACCATGCTTTGATTCTTCAAAAGTTATAGATGGTAAAATAACGGGCATTCGCTGTTGCAGATTCTTGAAGTGTTTCTGTATTGGCACATTTAAGCACTTGCAATTGGCCTTTGTTTCGGCTGGATTACACGTACACTGTTCGTATACTTCACACTGAAGTGCCCTAGCAGCTTTACTCGACGGACAGCGTAGAGCGGGCTTTATTTGCTTGTCCCAGAGAGCCGTGTTGTTGCCATCCGTTATGAATGAGGACTGGAGTAAAGGTATTGGAGCCATACTCACAGAACTCAATGTGAAAGAAAAGCTCTCCCATCTGACGGGTACGTTAGGAAGCATCAGAGCTGTGAACTCGTTTGTTTTCCCAGTTTTGGCGTCGAAATGGGTGA